AGTCAATCGGCAATGTCAGACAATGGTGCTGGAAAGAAAACAGACTGCCATTTGGTTGATGGATGGTTAATTAATTTGTAGTCATTAATTAGTTTGTATAAGAAACAATAAAGAAAAACTGTTTATTAAGCAAACAACATGTACTATCCCCTACTACACTAGGTAAGTGCTCTATGTAAAACATATGCAATCCTCTAGCTGAAACAACCTGAGCTGTAAGATACTCTCCCTCAGTCAGGCAGTAACGATGCAGCAAGATGCCTAAATTCTGAATCTAGTTAACTTTGAGTATCTGACTTATCAACTTGCGTGTGCAAAACTCTATTTATACACGGAAAACATAAATCACCTCCTAATATTTTTTAAAAAATATTTCAGTTGCAAGGCAGGAACAAAAAGTGTAATATACTTTAAAAAAAAAATTATTTTCCAAATCTGTCAGCATAGAAGAGAACCTTAAAATCATTAAGCAGCCATGTCAAGAAAAGATCTAAATACCATGATGGCATTACTACTTATAATTATGATTTTAAAATTTCTACAAATACATTCTCAAATATATTTATAAGAATAAAATGTCTCTGCCTAAAGATCCATACCCACAGAAATACGATGGAGAACTGCAAGTGTCCATTCATTACTAGATAATAACTTTCTTTCCTAACTAGTTTAAAAGTGAAGGACCAAGTGAAGCAGATTAATTCATACTCAAACCTATTGAATCTTCCTTGTACTTGACCCTTGATATTTCTTTCTTCATGTCAGATTTTCCCACCCTCTCCATTTTTTTTTTAATATTTCGAACATCTGAAGCAATATGAAAAAGATGAATAGAAAAGGATTATTCACTCACATACTACAAGATCTAAGGAGCATCAAATGAAATTATGATGTGGCAGATCCAAAACAAGCATAAGGAAGTACTTCTCCATATAGCACATAGTTAAGCTATGTGCTATATGAAGTCCCTGCTTCAGGATATTGAGATGCCAAAAAGTATACTTGGGTTCAAAAGGTCAATGGTTAAATTTATAGAATAAAAATCAGTCAAAAAGTATTAACCACAAGTATATCATATCTGGCTTAGTCAGTTCTACAATAACAGATTGCAAGAAGCTGGATGCATACACTCTGCTTGCTTAATCTGTTCCTATAATCTTCTCTGGACATCTGTTAGTGGCCTGCCAGAAACACAATACTAGAAAAGACAGACCTTTCATCCAACCTAATTATGCCTCTTCTAGCTTAAGAACATTAAAAATGCGATAAAAACTAAAGGGGAAAATTTTATTTATTATGATATATATGCTGCTTTTCTAAATACATGGGAGTAAGATACTAACTTCCCTACCCCATCAACACCCAAATTATTTCTAACAGATTGTCTACCATAAGATTTTGAGAAACAATCCCTTAAAAATAACATAACATTTGGATATTCAACAAATCTGAATTATATTACAGAAAACAATGTTCAAAAATCCGTATCAAGTCTCAGACAATTTAGTTACAATGCTAGAAATACTAGAAAACCATTAGCAGCATAATCGGCTCTTTGAATTACAGTCTAGGTATAGGATGGTAAAATTCACTTGACTAGACCTGAGAAGTTGAGTCAAAACATCAGTTTATGCAGTTTTGACACATGTAGTATTCCTGGTTCTTGCTGCAAAGAGTAAGTCCAAAATACCAAACTAAACAGGATGCTAAGCACAGCCCACTATATTTCTCATTAATTAGCTCAATATATTTCATAATTGGAATCCATATTATGAGCCACTAAAAGCACCCTCTTTAGCAAGACTAAAATGTAAACCTTTAATTAGATGAAGGGCTGACAAATCTGATATCCTGGATTTACACGACATCCTGTGACTCAGAAACCAGTTTCAACTGATAATTAATAGGCTTACCTAGAACACTTTCATGGTAAAACTCAAATACATGTACACCATGTTGAGGCACTAGATCCACATAAAAAACATTAGGAATTATTAAAAGAAAAGTTGAAGTATTCATTTAGAGCAGAGCAATATGTATGAAGAATGGTTTCAGTGGATTCCCCCAGAAACATCAAGACTACTGTCATCTGATCATAACACAAGTGCGACTAACACAGCTGCCATGTCAGCTTCTCTTCAGGGGCTAGGTCTTAATCACAAATCAACTGAATGACTAATTCAACATTGTTAAAACCAGCAAGTAACTGCTTGGAGCCATTCCAGTTTTTACATCTTTCAAAAGGTCAATACACCTACTCAAACACACAATAGTCCTATCTCTCACAGTGTTTTCTTCTTTTCTTGGATTGAAAAATAACATGTTGGCACTTAAATGTAAGTTTGTTTTAACTAACAATTAAAATGTTCATTAATTCTGAAAGAGTGACCTAGTAAAACAAAGACAATTTTAGTTTTCCTCTCCACCCACAATCTCTCCTCTCCTTTGCTGTTTTAAACACTTAAATAGTTGCAAAAGTTGATGAAAACATTTTACAGCAGAGCATTTCCTGCATTAACCTTACTTTTGTTAAAGTAATATTATGAATTAAGCTCAGAAATAAATTTTTTTGAGACGAATGACTGGTCTAGATGTGCCTTGCATTTCAAATATGAATCTCTACCCCTCAAAATAATAACAAAAATCACAAAGTGGCATCTAGCAGTAAAATATATTCTAATCATTTACATCTGCTTGCACCACACAAATAACAGAAGTCTACCGTTAGCATCCTTCATAGAAAATATTTATTCTGCTCTTAAATATAAAAGCTATGTTGCATAAACAGAGGATTTAAAGCTGTGGCAGAGTGGCTGAAGGAAAGGAAATGGCAATCTTTCTGGCTCTAGTAGATGCCTTTCCCTATCACACAATGTTTCCCACTCATAAATACATGACAAATACTTCCTCAATCATTTTTTACGAGCAGGGATGCACAGGGGGTAGTCAATGGCTAGCTTGAGGGAAAATAGGAACAGCAGGAGGCAGAAACTGTACTGAAATGGCTATGTGGTAAATTCTCTTCTGGAACATCACTCAGATACCCAGGCTTTGATCTTTCAGCTACAATTACACTCACATCCACAAGATCTGGGTATACTTTTTAAAAACTAAATAATTAATTGTAATAGAAACAGTTAAACGGTTTCATTATATGACTCCTCAACTCAAACCTCTGATTTTTTACAAATTAAAAATTGCAATTTATCTGAAGATTTGCTTTCAATTGGGTTTAACTATGTCATCATCACGACTAGTCTCACAAAAAACATGGGGTGACTGGCGACAGCTAAATCACAGACTGGCGTCGCCTAAGTAGTCTGGCTACCATTAGGGTCTGGGAAATGGTATTTACTGTACAATTAGAGCCAGTGAGCTCTACCTGTAATCATCCAAATACAGGTGTGAGGATCCTTTTTTGGACAGGGAAACCGACTCATCCATTTTCACATAAACTTCCATGCCTGTACTGTTAGAGTAAACCTTAGGAAACCTCAGTGTCTGTACTTTGAAAAGAGTATCACCTGATAATAACAGAGCAAATATGACTATCCTGATCTTAAAAACTTCCTTGGGTAGAACCACTTCTTATTTTAAATTGTCCTACCCAAAAAAACATTTAAAGAAGGAACAAATTAGTTTAAAATTATAAAATTTGGCCAAACATGTAGAGCTTACATTATTATATTGGTTATCAAGTCTGTTCCAAAGTCTGTCTTCGGGGTTGAGAGGGTTGCTATTAAAATACGTTAAATTTTGTTCTTTAATACTAACACAAAATGTCTTGTAGTATCAAAAGGACAGTTTTAGTCGCAGTAATTTCACAGAATTTATTCTAATGATTTATTGGAGTTAACCATCTGACATTAATTATTGTTTTGGCTTCCAGTCTATGAATGTTTATTTTTCAGTTTAAAGCCTTCTCACTCTTTGATATCATATGGAAATGAGAATTTTTAATGGAAAATTGAAACCATGTGCATCTAAGTACTTAATGAAGTACAGGGAGAAACAGAGGGTATACTTTAGGAGAATTCAGATATTCCGCTTTAGATACTTTTGATTTGTTTGGATGAGTTACATGCATATATCTGTTCACAAACATACATTTATACATCTTCAAAGTATCTCACAAGTACAGTGTTTAAAATTCTGAATTTTAAGAAAATATTTGCTGTTTGGTTGTGTTTTTTTAAACTAAATAGGCTGCTGTAGATTTTTTTTAATCATATACTAACTACATAATCTGTTCCCTCCTCCACAAATCAAATATTTATCCTATCTAGAGCTTCCAACAACATGCTAAATGCTGTACTTCTCAAAAGTGGATTCCCACCATATGTCTACCATGTTAGGACTGGATCTTCATCCAGTTCACTGAATGTCTGATAGACTGATTTTGTAACCATCATATCCTTGAGTCATAATATTGATGTCAGGAATACTTGACTAAAACCTGAGCTGTTCATGGCATTAAAGCCCATCAAAAGAGGCCTGTAAACCACAAGCAATGTTCAAGCAGTGGCAAGAAAGCCAGGCATCCAACTGCAAAATGAAGATACTGTTAAAAGGTGCAATTTTGCCACAGTCTGAAACACTTCTGTGCAACTCACATAGTTTTAGTCTTCTGGCATTCAATTCATTCCTTTGGAATGAAAAAATATGTTGTTCAGACAGACAATCAGCATTATATAACATGATAAAGCCACATGTTTATTTAAATCAGTACTTCCAAATTAAATCTATTTTCTTCATAGTTAATGGATTCATGTAAAAACAGAAGGAAGAAAAGCATATTCCTTTCTGCAGTCAGGGTTTCACCATATGCATTGTACTCAAGCAGCACATCAGTGGGAGTATAACAAGTAACAGAGGCGCAAGATTAGTTTATATTGTTATTTTAATTAATATCCTTGGTGATCTAAATGCGCAAGGAATTACTGACCAGTGAAAAATGTGAAACAGAAACAAATTTAGACACTTAACCTGTACACACTCACCACTTGTTTTTCTTTCTAATGTAGTCTTTTTCAGAGAGATTAACCAAGTAGATCATCGGTTTTGAAGTAAAAAACAAATGTTTGTTCAAAACATCAATCTGGAAGTGAAAATATAGGAGGAGAATTTTAGAAGGAGATTATACCAACTTGAATTAATTTTATTATAATTTTCCTCATGGTATGTCTGAGAAGGCTACAGGATTCAAGTATAATCTATAAATCACAGGTAAACACAGAATCAGCTGATAAATTTAACATTGTATACACTAGAAAATCTAAAAAAAAAAAAAAACCACCACCACCACCACCAAAAAAAACCTTTAAAAAAGGCAGTAACAGGTAGCAAAATTAGAAGTCAGTTCATGGGATAATATTTATAACCTACCTCTTTGTCATTCCAATCATGATAGAAGCGGACAGCTTTCTTTTCATCTATTACCCACGTCCTGATTTTGCACATTACGTCCTACACAAGATCAAGAAAAAAAAAGTCAAAAACTCAGCTGGATATCAGACTATTCTCTCCCCTAAACAAGGCATGTATACATTAAAATTCAAAACATACACACAAATTAAAAATTAGATAATACCTTTTAGAAACAAGTTTTTACTCTCCCAGAAAAACAGAAATTGCTGCTATAAAAGTCACTAAAGAGCAATATGGATTATTAAAACCATACAAATCCCACAATTAGGAAGATAAATTCACAATACGCAAGTATCATCTCTTGCCACCAAGAAAATAAGCAGAGCTCATACAATATATGTAAAAATCAGTACATTTTAGATTGCTTTTCAAACTCAGTAAGACGCGACATTTCAGCATCCAGCGGGAGAGACCACGTACAATATAAACATGCCATTAAGAAAAGGGAATGGGTGGGACAAAACACAACAAATATCTTTTTTTTTTCTTCAAATTGTGAGCAAAAGAAATGGAGCCTATTATTGATGATCCACCCTCAAGAAATTAATTCAAATGGCCAAAGCCCTTTTTATTCCACATTAATTTTTCGCCAACACCTTCTCCCTCCCCCCCCAAAATGAAACCTGCCAAAGCCTCCATTACACAATGGCAAGAGCCTTGCACTGGTGACCTCCAACCAGCTGCATTCACTTTCAGAACATCTCTCTCGGCAGGAAATCTAAAGGCCTTTTAGTTAGCAAGCTAGTGTGCATTCAGAAGGAGTAACTGCAGGAAGAGCCCAATGTGCTTTGTTTCTCTGGCCTTTCTTCACAGAAAGATTAATCATCTGTGAAATGGAAACGGCAAACAGCAAGTGACACAAACTGAACCCTTCAAGCCTTTCCTCATCAGTTTTGTGGTCGTGAATCCGAAAGCTGCGTGTGGCACGGTTCTCCTTACAGGCAGGTGTTAATAAAAGGCTCTTGGGTCTGAAAGGTCAAACTTGGCTCTTCTAGGAGTAGTACATTTTAGAGTCGCCTATTTTTTGTTGTAGATAATTTATGATCATGCTTTAAATAATGCATTTTTTAAAGTTGTAATTGACGCAACTGAGCATTAAGATCTTTAAAATACAAGGAAACGTTCCCTAAACTGTTGAGCGCACAACATTTTTTGCACTTAATGCTGTGTGGCTGAAGTACATTTATAAACAACCACAAATAACATCAGTATTTACTACCGTCTTTTCTAGTCTTGTGGTAGCTTTAGTGGAGGAAAAAAAAAAAGAAAAAGAAAAAGCTCTTCTAAATCTTCAGATCCTGATTTGAAACCCTCCAGGAACAGGACTCCCCACAGATTTTAACAAGGAAGGGGCAAGCTAAAACTTTTAATGAAATCTAACATGTTCTGCCTAAGAATAATCACTTTTACTCTCCTATAACTGAATTTCACTCATAAATGTTTAAAAGTGGCTAATATAACACCATTTCCTACAAGGAGAAGATCAAAGTGCTATATTACAAATGCATTATGATTAAAAAAGCACTGTGCAGCTTTGCTATTAACTGTTCTTTAAACCCTAAAAGGCTTCCCATAGATCTCACTTGGCACTGCATATACAACCTTTGACAAGTAATGTAGACCATTTTTATTCATTGCCTAAAATTGTAGGCAATTATGTGCGTCACACTGGCCACCTGCAAATTCTGAATGCCTGCTCCAGTTGTCAGAGCAAAAAACTAATGTCGGAGGGGATTAATCTAGGGGGAGAGAGTCCTCTTTAATGGCTCCAGCAGGTGAAATGGCCCAGCTGGTTACTATGATGAGTGGCCAGAACAGCTTATGTAGAGACATGCAACAAGATTACACATAAAGAAGAAAACAGTGGTACCATCTTATCTTTAACCCTATGTGCTTTTTATTTTTTAATTAATCACTATAAACAAGATAAGGGAAGCAATTCTATCAGTAAGTACTTTTCATTTAAGATCTTTATCTTCAGCTTCTCCTAAAACAGACATATCTAAAAATCAACACAACAACCAAGATTCCTGTTCAGCAGTGAAGGAATTCTGGTGACACACTATTTTGGATTTTAAACTAATTCTGTAGGCACCTACCAGGTGGCTTTCAGCATTACAGTTTCCTCCCATAGCAATGCATTACTACATATAAATTGGAGTTGATAAAAAACTGACAGAAAAAAACCCACTATCGTACAAGTTATCAAAGCCAAACTTTCAGGCTTAAGCAGAAATTAAGTGTTTTCTAATCACACTGTAAGGGGAGCTATATAACACAGAACCTCCAGAAAATTTCAAGCATCAACACAGCAAATAAAGTTTGGCCTTTCTAAAGCCTATCTAAGCACAGAGCTGCCAATCAAAAACCTCTCCTCCACATTCACCTGCTACCTACAGTAACACATCTAAACCCATTTTGGCACTGACTTAGTCTTTCTAAGTTCTCATTTAGGTACCTGACTTGATGCTGTTTGAAACTGTTGTTCTAAAGAGTAATTATACGGACAATTTCCACGGGGAAGGCAGACCAACAACTGCATATGCTGGGGGGAACCGACAGCTGTATACTTGCCAGTTCTCTTTTGGTTTTACAGGGAAGATGGCAAAGTATTAGAAAACCTTCCTTAGATAAAAGGATGGAAACTTGTAAGCAAGTACAGCATTTATGTATGAAGCTGGCAAAGCAGTGATACAAAGATTTCTCTGATGCTCTATCTGGGCAGCAGTCACACTATGCAGAATATAAGTCCAGAAACCTAAAAATGGGACAGATGAACTCAGATTTCCCTGTCAATATGAAGAAAGGCAAATATTTCCATATATTTCTTTTTCACTCAGTTGCCCCAATACTCCGAACAAACATGCAAGAAGCACACTTTAAGATTATATCTCATGTAGTACCATTTTTAGTTTTACTATTTGCTTCTATCTAGGACCGGTGAAAAACTACGAACTAACCTTTTTATCTTCACTATCACTGTAACAGTCATTTAAACACATTTAATCACTACTCTAGTTAACTTCAAGACGCTTAATAACACAATACAGAGCAATGATCCACTTTGTTTCATTAGATCTGGCCTCCCCAGTTGCACACTTCGAGGTCAATCTGTCACCAGCAGAATGATCCACTTTGCCTTGTCTGATGAGAGGGGTACTCTTGTTGTTTTTCAGTTACCAACATTATAACAATCACCATTCAAAAGGCTGCCAAAAAAACCTCCGAAATCCAATTTACTTACAGTTGTCAAGGCATATGGAATACAGCAAATTTCATGAATGTCAAATGTAATTGTTTTAAAAATCAGTTAATTTCTGACTATATTCACGGCAAGATACTTAGCACATGTGCTTACTTAGTATATTTAGCCATATGCAATACAGTGATTTTAATTTATGTCCTGCTCTCATTTTCTAAAGGCCACACGTAGTCAGCCCACAAATGCTAAGCAGGACTTTAACAGTAAGTCCAGTAGTATAAAATAATGAAATACATGTAAATTGCATATAACAGATTTACCAAGACATGCTCATGAGACACTACTGTGTTGAAAAATGTGCATACATTAATAAACTTTCTGGATGAATGATAGTAATAATGTGTGCCAATGCCAAATTCTTCTTACAGCATGAGGGACTAAACTGAAGCTTGGAAAACTCACTTGCCTACTTGGCATCAGAGAATTGTGATTTTTTTGTTGTAAATTAGCAGGGCATGTAATTAACTTCCGCAAATTTAATAAAGAAGTAAGCAGTTGTGAGGATTATCACTTCACACTTCAAAGTGCAAGTGAATTCTCTGTGATCCTGCAGGCAGTGCAAAAGTCTCCACTACTACTGTGAGTACAGTAGGCTTTTTCCCCCATCAAGGGAAGTATGGATTGTTTCTCAGTGCATTTATTCATTTCCTTCAAAACTTCCAAGATGTAATAACTTACCATCTCCCAGTAAAAGCTTCAAAAGCAGTTAAATACTTTTTATTAAAGTGTTTCAATGGCCTAAAAATTTATTATTTCTACTGCTCTGCTGCTTGAGAAAGCTATAAGGCGTACCTAAAACATTACCTGTAGCTCTTGGTTAGCTCTTCATTTCACACAAAAGTTCAACAGCATAGCATATCAATATTAAAGGTGATGGTGTATAACTAACATATGCTGACTTCCCTAAGGAACCTGCTACAGTGGTGTAAGGTATTTAATTAGTAAATCACTGCATACACTAAATGGAGTCAACCCCACCTCACCACCTAACCAGTAGGTCTCAGAATGTAACTGTAAATAGAAAATCCAATGAATGTGTTTCCAGTGTGGCTCCGAACAAACTTTGCATTTCTCCAATAATCATCTTTCAACGGGCAAAAAAGACCATGTTAATGACACACAGATTCTGAGAATAGGAAATTACTAACAATGTGAATTGTGTGTAGTGACCAGAACTGCAACACAGATTTAGTGAAAGCAAACAATGCTTTTCAGTACAATACATTGAAGTTCATACACTTGCTGGGTGGGGGACAAGGGAGGGTGGATACGTTATTTACCAGGTAGATGACTTCTCTCTTGGTAGAGTGACTGAGAAGCCTGGAAGGTCACAAGCAAGTGAACTGTATTGTAACTAAAAGACTAATAGAATCTTGGAGTATAAAAACAGGCTAATGTCCATTGTGAATAATTCCACACTTATCTCTCCTGAAATACTGACAAACTGGAGGAGAAAAATAAGAGGTTTTGAAAAAGTGCTCATACTTGAAGACTTGGTGTTCTTAAATCCTATGTTTTTATACTTATTGCATTTTAAATATATATATATATAATTAACAAAAAACTCACATAGTACAGGGTTTTTCACACTAGCATGCTGAAGCTTGACAAATACAGGCTAAAGCTGTCTTATTTCTAAACAGTAAAGATAATTAATCACTGGTATAGCTTATGTAAGTTGAAGTAATTTATCTCTAGCCCAAAAATATTTAAATAGAGGTTAATTTTTCTCCTAAGAGACACATTCTATTTTCACCATGACTGTAAGAATTAAACT